AAATTTGCCAAAATTTTCAGATTTCCGTGTGATGGGCGATCATTTGATGGACACAGTAATTTGAAAAGCGCAGTAATTAAATATACGGTATATCAATATGATATTTAATCATTTCACTGATTAAAATCTGATCATAGTAAAATTACTAATACTGCAGACATAGTTTTGATTTACTAGTTGAGTTACCACCCCAATACGTACGTACATATTGTTCTTTGCTTATTTATTTTCGATGTTCTACTAGTTTATGCATCATCTTTACATAGAATATTGAGATTTTTAAATTTCTCAGTACGTGTGTACTGTACATACCAGATACGTACGTACGTATACGGATTGGGTTTACTAATTTTCCCACTTCACTATCGGCACAGATACTCGATATGTGAATAATTAGAACTAATAAAAATGACCGGGATAAAATCGCTGCCAAAAAAAATTATATCAATTACGTGATACAAGATTATGCAACTAAAAAGGACCGAGAAAACTTTACGAATTATAGCACCCCGCCACAATAACATTCGAATATTATAAATTTGGAAAATGTGACCGATTTTTTCATTTATTCTTCGATTAACTTACATCTTTGCTGGAAACAAAATCATGCATATTTTAACTTTCATTTATTACTAAATCTTTATATACTATTCAATTATCTTTCATTGATAAATTACACTCCTTGCCCTTTTCATTAATAATTTATAAACTATAGATAAATTTATGATTTCTATCATCTAATTCCTTTTTATCTTCATCGTCAGCATAACTAGAAGCTTTAATTTTAATACTTTTCTCTTTCTTCTGTTCATTAAGTCTGTTTAAAATTCCATACTGAATTGCACATAAACAAATGGCTGCTAACAAGCAACCCGAAGCAATAACATGCCCAGGGACGTAATTTGGGTAATCTGCAGAACGATATATCTGAGCAGCAATTAAACCTCCCATGTTACCACCACTTATCATCATTGCAACACCTATGTTACACTTTAACGGTGGTGACAAATTATTTGTTAACCTTGAAAAAATTGAAAGATTAAGAGAAAAAATTTTTAATACTGTATGAAATTGAAATATTTAAACGCAGAAAAACTTATATATACCATGTAATAGTAATAACACTACACGGAGAAATACCTATCACTATAATACAAGTTGCTATGTATTTCACTATATAACGAACAATAATAATAAAAGATAAAAAAACGTGAATAATAATAATAATAATAATAATAATAATATCAATAATATCGCTGTTTTCGAAATGGTTGAGAATAGTAATATTCTCAAAGAAAATTTTTTTTGCCTGCGAATACCCGAATATCTGAATACCCGATTAGTTTAGAACATTGATCACATTGATCAAAGCAGCTATCTTTATTTAATGATAAATTAAGCGAGTAGTTGTTTAATATAATAATTACTATTTCGCAGTTGGAAGTCGATTTTCAATCAATGTGATCAATGTTCTAAACTAATCGGGTATTCAGGTATTCGCAAGAAAAAAAATATTTTTTTTTGAGAATATTGCTATTCTCAACCATTTCGAAAACAGCAATAATAGTAATAACATTAAAGTAAAAATTTGAAATATTAACCGATCAAATTATTAGCATTTGCAGAATATAAGATAATTATGTATCCCACGATTCCAATTGAGGCAAACGACATCACAAAAGGACCACGAACATTTATCCGATCGGATAAAGCTGATACCGTTAATATTGAGATACAGCCAAGACAAAATGGAGGAGCCACCAATAATTGGGATATAACTTTAATGTGTAATATGTATAATAAAGATTAGACAATTATGTAAAATTTCATGTGTGATTATTATTTTGTCTTACCTTCATTAAAACCAAATCCATTTACGATTGAAGGAACAAAAAATGCAAATGAATAAACTGCGGTATTAATTCCTAATAAAATGAGCATTGATATGTACACTTTCTGAATGGAAAAGAAATTATAATGAAAAAAAAATGATGCCAAAATAATTTAAGAAACATATCAAATAAAATAATATATCATACCCAATCCTTCAAACATTCTAATATATAAACCTTATCAAATGTATGCTTTTGATAATCCACTCCACCAGCATCGTGCTTTAACCTTAAGACAGATAGTGATCTCTCTTCTTTTCTAAGCCACTTGGCTTTTTCTGGATAATCAGCAATATGAAAAAATGCAAAAATAGCAACTATAATAGTAACTAAACCATCAATTAGAAAAATCTGTTACATAAAACGAAATGAATAATCTCATTGCATTAGACAAAAATAAATAAAACATTAAGAATGCATAACATTATTTATTTGTTCTGATATAGCAGAAAGTAATTCGACCTACCAATTGCCATCCCTTTAAAGGTGAATTGTCATTCGTAAGGCTTACAATTGCATAAGTTAATAATCCACTAAAAGCACCAGCAATTGATGCACCGGACAAAATTATTCCCATTCTAGAACTTTGTTCAAATCTTTTATACCACATAGTAATATAATAGACTATTCCTGGAACTAAACCTGCTTCGAAAGCTCCTAGGAGAAAGCGTGCGATTAAAAGGGAAGTATATGATTGTACCTTTCAAAAAAAAAAAAAAAAATTACAAGATTAATAATTTGTGCTATTTTTAATTAAAAATAATGAGTATTCTAATTTCATTACTTACAAAAGCCATAAGAGACATTGTTATCCCCCAAGCAATCATAATTATTGGGACTATGAAGACGACCAAGTAACTTAAGTGAGATAAAAAACGATATGACTTTCTTTACGGAATGCCATTGTTAAATTAAATCTTACGCCATACTGAAGGTCTAACTTTATATAATATCAGATTTGATGGTATTTCGAATAAAACATATCCACTAGAAACAAGAAAATAAATTTCATAATTGAATTTTAATAGAAATTCATTTTTTATAAATAAATTATCATCATAGTCGCGAAATAACGCGCAGGGGTGTAATTTCAAATTTTGGCCCAAATAGCTTAATTCGGGCGACTATACGGTAATGATTTAATAAAATGGCTTACATAAAAAAAATGCTTAAACTCCAATTAAATTCACTTCCAACTAATCCAAGATCACGTTCTATATTTGCCAACTTTGCATTTCCAATATTTACCCTTAATTATAAGAAAAAACATATATATCAGTATTATCTTTAAACATAGCATTATCAAGAAAATATAGTTCTCATACCTATCTAAAAAGCTTAATAAATAAAGTAGAAACAAAAATGGAACAATTTTCAAATCGATCTTCCTTAATAATTTGATTTCTTTTTCTCTCATTTCATCTGAATAAATTGGATCCATTATAAAAATATTTATGCGAATATTGTCTAATGAAAATGCGATTTGAATGAAAGTATTTTTGATTTATCTTCTAAAGTCAAACTTTTCATTCTTTTTTAATTTAATACTCGTTGCTTTTTTCTTTTTGAACAGGTAATTATCACCCGAATTTTTAACAAATTAGGCAAATATAATCGTTACTCATTATAAACACCGCCACTACACAGCCCTCATAGACAGACATTCGTCTGATTGGCTGATGTAAATCAATTGCCGGGTAACTTATTTATACAGTTTAAAGTACT